CTTCCACTGGATGCCGAATGTGTCTCTAACTTGTTTTTTGTTGTTGTATTTTCCTTATTTGGAGTAAAATAACTTCATCTTTGATCTTTGGCCTAGCTCCTGAGCCATTTTTTTTGAGGCACTGGGTGGGGGGGGGTTTGTGTGCTGATTACCTATGAAGGAGCAAGTGGGCTGTTTCCTTCTCCCCAGCTGCTTCCTTTGACCCCACATCCCCAAGAGCCTCAACCATTTTCTTTTTGGCTTCCTCCCTTTGATATGCCCAGCCGGCACCCAACCTAGCTGGCTGCCACTACTAGGACCTGCTGGAGGCGGTTGCTGGGAATTATTTGGTGTCCTGTTTGAACCTCACTTGCCATGCTCCAAATTTCCTATTTCTCCTGGGATTGCCTTTCAGGATTTGCAGAACCCCCTCTCCTTTAGAAGTGTCAATTGATGCTGGGTGCAGTGGCTCACACCTGTAATCCCAGCACTTTGGGAGGCTAAGGCAGGTGGATCACCTGAGGTGGGAAGTTCGAGACCAGCCTGACCAGCATGGAGAAGCCCCGTCTCTACTAAAAATACAAAATTAGCTGGGCATGGTGGCACATGCCTATAATTCCAGCTACTCGGGAGGCTGAGGCAGGAGAATCGCTTGAATGTGGGAGGCAGAGGTTGCAGTGAGCCAAAATCGTGCCATTGTACTCTAACCTAGGCAGCAAGAGTGGAATCCAGTCAAAAAAAAAAAAAAAAAGTCAGTTGGATCTTAGGACAATTTAAAAACATTATCAGGTTTTTATCTTTTAGATACTAGATAAGAGACTGCTTCTAATAAGGATTTACAGTAGTCTTTCTGTTTCCTGTGGGCTTCTGTCTGGCTTGTGAGCTCGTTCCCTAGGATAGACAATCCATCCTGGACATTGCCACGTTGCCAGCTGTCCCACCGATGTTCCGCTTCCTGTGTTGTTGTTATTGGTTGGGGTCTAGGAGAGGTGGCTGCCTGGACTCGGTCTACTTGCTGATTAGGATGAAGTTGATCTCTCCTTCCCTTCTGAAGGTTTCTGTGTACTGTGTTGTACTGAAGGACATCTTATGTAAGAAGTGTGCACAGCTCCAAGAATTCTTCACAAATGATCATGCCCTTGTAACTAACGTGCAGAGTGAGAAACGCAACCCTGGAAGCCCCTTAAGCTTAGTCACTTTCAACCCCCCACCCATATGATGAATGCTGTGTGCAAATCCAACTGTAATAGTCTCTTTGCTCTGGCATCTTTGCTCAAAAGTGTATTTGAGAGATTCATCTGTATTGTAAGTCAAACCATGTGAAATTATCAGCAGTCAGCTGTTTTTTGACCCCTAAAAGGTAAATTCATACGGTTCAGCCTAAATGTTCAGTCCTGTTAACTGCCAGATCATAGTCTCTTACACCTGCAGCTGCCCCTTCTCAGGCTGGGCATAGGAGTTGTTTTCCAGCGTTGGGCCTTCATTGAGTGTGCCTGCCTGTTTGGTGTGCGGAAGTGCATTCTTGTTGAGGTATACCTTGGGTGAGTTTTCAGCCCCACAGCTTTCTTTTGCTTTCTCTCCTCCCGTCTCCCTCTTTCCCCCTCTCCCATTCTCCCTCTCCCCCCTCCCCCCCCACCCACTTCCTCTACCCCCCTCCCCCCTTCCCCCTCTCCCTGTTCCCCCTGCCCCCTGTCCCTCTGTCCCTCTGCCGTCTCCTTTTTCTTTTGTTTTTGGTGAAGTCTCACTCCTATCTCCCAGGCTGGAGTGCAGTGGTGCAATCTCTGCTCACTGCAACCTCTGCCTCCCGTGTTCAAGTGATTCTCCTGCCTCAGCCTCCCAAGTAGCTGGGATTACAGGCACACGCCACCACGCCCAGGCAATTTTTGTATTTTTAGCTGAGATGGGATTTCATCATGTTGGCCAGGCTGGTCTCAAACTCCTGGCCTCAAGTGATCTACCTGCCTTGGCCTCCCAAAGTGCAGGGATTACAGAAGACTTCGCATGCTTTAGAGAAACCTTGATGGCACTCCTACCTCTGCCTCCCAAGTTCTTAGATTCTCTTGCCTCAGCCTCCCAAGTAGCTGGGACTACAGGCTCCCGCAACCATGCCTGGCTAATTTTTTGTATTTTTAGTAGAGATGGGGTTTCACCGTGTTAGCCAGGATGGTCTTGATCTCCTATGCCATCCAAGGGTTTTCTTTTTTTTTTTTTTTTTTTTTGAGATGGAGTTTCACTCTTGTTACCCAGGCTGGAGTGTAATGGCACGATCTCGGCTCACCGCAACCTCCACCTCGGTTCAGGCAATTCTCCTGCCTCAGCCTCCTGAATAGCTGGGATTACAGGCACGCGCCACCATGCCCAGCTAATTTTTTGTATTTTTAATAGAGACGGTGTTTCACCATGTTGACCAGGATGGTCTCGATCTCTTGACCTCATGATCCACCCGCCTCGGCCTCCCAAAGTGCTGGGATTACAGGCGTGAGCCACCGCGCCCGGCCTCATCCAAGGGTTTTCTAAAGCTGTGGGCCCAAGGCTGGGGGTGGTGGCTCATGCCTGTAATCTCAGGACTTTGGGAGGCCAAGGTGGGTGGATCACCTGAGGTCAGGAGTTCGAGACCAGCCTAGCCAACACGGTAAAACCCCATCTCTACTAAAAATACAAAAATTAGCTGGGCGTGGTGGCACACTGCACTCTTGTAATCCCAGCTACTTGGGAGGCTGAGGCAGGAGAACTGATTGAACCTGCAAGGTGGCGGTTGCAGTGACCTCAGATCCAGCCACTGCACTCTAGCCTGGGTGACAGGGCAAGACTATGCCTCAAAAAAAAAATTAACAAAAATAAAGCACGCGAGGCTTCTGGTTGCTCTACTGCCTGGCCAGCGTTTAATGTTACCTTTTTCCTGCCGGGCTTTGAGATTCTTATTCTTTCTGAAACAGCCCTGTTCTTGTTTAAGAACATCCCCATTTTCCTTTCATCCCTAGACGATACTTTTACATTTTTATTTTTTGAGGAAGGATGGTCCAGATCTCTCGACCTCATGATCCTCCCACCTCAGCCTCCCAAAGTGTTGGGATCACAGGCGTGAGCCACCCTGCTCAGCCTGGGGAGATGCTCTTTTAGTCTTTGTTTGGCTAATCAGAATCTCATCTTTAGTGTCTTATCAAAATCTCATCTTCAGTGAATTTTTGTGTTTTTGTTTTTTCTGATTCCCTTTCAGCATGTCACCTGAGTCTTGTCCCAGCCAAGGGTCAGGCAGAGTTCTGTAGGGACAGTGCAGCAGCTCCTTAATGCCTCGGAGCCTTTGCCAGGCCCGGACAACTGCATAGGTGCAGGGCTGCCAGTAGTTCTTCCTGCTCTTCGGTCATTGAAATGTTTTCTTTTATGAAGTAATGATGATAGAAGATGATAGGGTTTCTGTTTGTTTCTAATTCTAGTCTTTACTTGGCATTAAGAAATCGTTAGCTGCCAGGGTTGATTTTGAAATTGTGAGGTTGGAGAGTCTCCTGGAGCCTCAGTCTGGATGGCCAGAGCTCTGTGACTCAGCTGTGCTGGGTGCCTCCCTTTGGGGCTCAGTTATCTCCTTTTAAGGTGCCCCTGGGGTGAGAGAGGTGATCATGATAGTCCCTTCCACCTGGGCGGCCCAGGCTTTCCTCTCCCATTTAGTGCCTTGCATGTAGACTTCCCACCTGTTGTCTGCTGTGCTGCCACTGCTTGTCCTCCCTCCCTGCCATGCAGACCTGTGCCTGCCACTCACGCCTGCTTCTCTGATCAGGGTTTGTGGAACCCCCTGGCGTGGTCACCATTGTGATACCTGTGGTAACCGGCTTAGCCTTGCTGTGGCACATTCTTTTTTTTTTTTTTTTTTTTTTTGAGACGGAGTTTCACTCACGTTACCCAGGCTGGAGTGCAATGGCGCAATCTCGGCTCACCGCAACCTCCGCCCCTGGGTTCAGGCAATTCTCCTGCCTCAGCCTCCTGAGTAGCTGGGATTACAGGCACGCACCACCATGCCCAGCTAATTTTTTGTATTTTTAGTAGAGACGGGGTTTCACCATGTTGACCAGGATGGTCTCGATCTCTTGACCTCGTGATCCGCCCACCTCGGCCTCCCAAAGTGCTGGGATTACAGGCTTGAGCCACCGCGCCCAGCTTGCTGTGGCACATTCTAGGTCTACTGTTTGCATTCTCTAGCCTGTGAGCTTGTGTACATAGGAAATGTGTCTTCATTTTGGGGACTTTCTTCCACTTGATGACCATCCCTTGAGTGATTACTGCTTGCGGAGCGCTTGGCTTTCAGGCAGTAGAGAGCTTTCCAGTCAGTGGTGTCCAGGTAAAAACAAAAGAAGGGGGAAAAAAAGCCTCTAACCTAGCCCTTCTGAGACTTGAATGTGTGTTTGAGACTCCAGGGCTCTTGTGGTTAGGGCTGGATGGAGCCTGAGCATCTGCATTTCTGGTAAGATCCCTGCTGGTGCTGTGCAGTTTCTTGGATCGTGGCCAGTGAACAAGAAGAGCAGGGAAATGAGCTGGAGGGGACTGCAGAAACCAGCGCAGGGGCTGTTTTGCCTCCTGACAGATGTGGCTGCTAGATTCCTGCCTTTTCCTCACCTACTAGGAACAGCAGCTGCACCTGCTTTGCTGGCCTTGTATGGGCTCCTGCTCTGTGGCTGCCAGAGAGCCTTTTACCCCATACTCAGGCCCCTCTTGGGAGGCAGGGTGGTGTGGATGGAGTTTAGAGGTGAGCAGTGTTTATAGTAACTGTCACAGTCTTAAATTGTTATTCTGCTTTTTTTTTTTTTTTGGAGGGGGGGCAGTCTCACTCTGTCTCCTAAGCAGGCTGGAGTGCAGTGGCATGATCTGGGCTCACTCCAACCTCTGCCTCCCAAGTTCAAGACAGTCTGTTGCCTCAGCCTCCTGAGTAGCTGGGACTACAGGCACCCACAACCACGCCTGGCTAATTTTTTGTATTTTTAGTAGAGGTGGGGTTTCACCGTGTTAGCCAGGATGGTCTCGATCTCCTGACCTCATGATTCACCCGCCTCGGTTTCTCCAAGTGCTGGGATTACAGGCGTGAGCCACCATGCCTGGCCGTTATTCTGCTTCTTTAAGCAATGTTCCCCTGCTTCTCTCCAATATTGTGTCTCAGAACTCTCAGCCAGATTGTGCCAGGCCTGGGGCCCTCCCCGGTGCCAGCACTAGCAGGGGAAATCCAGCTGCAGGTCTCCAAGGTCCCATCCTGACCTCATTCCTTGCTGGCTCCAAACCCAGAAGTGATGAGAAGAGGGAGGGGACCGAGGCTGTACCTTTTGGGATAACACAGTTTGAGGCACCTTCTGCCCAGCTCTCCTATCAGCAGCCCATTCCAGCCTCTTCCTTAAGCTAGGTTGTTAGCACAGGCTTCCTTACCTCTCAGAAGGGGCAGTACACATGTGCGGGTGGCTGGAGGACCATACAGGGCTTGGCCCTGCTGTGGGCAGCACTAGGTTCTCAGTAGGACCAGTGGCATTTCAGGACAGGCGTGGGAAAGTCATTGGGCTGGGATGGATGCTGCCTTCCTCACTCTGGGCCACAGGGGTGTGGACCAGGCTGGCCTGAGGAGCAGAGGAGGAGGAGGCCTGCTTTAGGTCGCAGTCACTGCATCACCAACGTGTTGAGTGGAACCCGAGTGTTTATTTTGTATAAGCTGCATTGGAGGGAGCTGGGCTCCTGGCATTTGTGGAGCCTGTTGCTTTCCAGGAGGATGGTCTGGGAGAAGAGCCAGGAGCTGCTGGCCGGCATCCAGGTCTGAGCTGGATTACATGGCTGGGCTTGCCCAGAGCGGTGAGCCCCACCCACTACCAGCCCATGCCTGGAGGGACAGGGAAGAAGGTCATGGAGGGTGGGGGTGTTCCCAGAGGAGCAGCAAGCACATCCTGGGCCCCCAAAGCGGGGCTGCATGATGTGGGCCCCACCTTGTCACTTCAGGTAGAGGAGCTGGGCAGACCCTGTGCCCCCACACTAAGTTTGGGAGAATGCACCCAGGTGAGGCCCTGTTGTGGACAGGCAGGCAGTGCTGGGAGGTGGGGGAGTGCATGTGGAGGTGCAGGCTGAGGCCCTCCTCCTGCCGCCTTCTGCGGCACCCGCAAGCAGCTGGGCAGTTGGAAGCCCTGTGTGAGTGGCATCCCTGGCCCTGCCTGCATTGGCTTGGGGTCATCAGACCACAGCTCTGGAGTCAGTCTTTGGGTCTTCACTCTGCTACCTACATGCTCTTATGACCCTGGGCAAGTTGCTTAACCCCCAAGAACCTTTTAATTTCTTATCTGAAACTGCAGAGATAACGACCCATCACTGGGCCTGTGGGAAGATTGAGGAGATCAGATCTGCCCACACAAGGGCTGCCATCTCATACAGGGCTGTGGCCGTGGGCGAGGTGCAGCCTTGGCCCTGTGGAGCTATCTCTTGTCTATGAAGGCTTCCTCAGGGAGGACTTCAGGCCATGGGGATAGGATGAACAAAGTCCTGGGCTTGTGACTGTGCGGGGCTGGTTGTGTCCAGGGGCTCGGCCTTGGGGTGCTTCTGGATCCTGGTTGCCTCCTGCCTGGCTGCCTTGTGCCCTCTAGGCAGTCTCTCCCATGGCGTAGGGGCCCCTGGGAAGAGGCCGAGCCCACACAGGGCTACCCCTTGCAGCTGCATCTGTCCGAGCCACACCTGAAGTGTGAGGGGACTATAGTTGGGGGTTGGTCTGGGACCAGGGCTGATGCTGACCTTAGGCTTAAGTTTGGGGGCAGACGCAGAATGTCTGGAGCTCTCTCTGACCCTGGTCAGATGTACTTAGACCTCTGGGGTGTGGAAGTTCCTTTGTAGCCCTGCCCTGCCCAGCATGGCTTCACAGTCTGGCATGCTTGTCCCTCCCACCTGGCAGTGGAGCTCCGGTGGGCTGTGGGTGGCCTTGCTCATTCAACAGTCTTGGCATCAGCTGGAGGGGTCCCATTTTACTGTTAATTTGTTCAGGCTGGGAGGTGGTTAAGGTGCAGCTCCTTGGAGGTGGACTGGGAGGAGCTTCTCCTCAGTCCTCCAGCATAGCCCCAGGCCTCCTGCAGGAAGCACCTTTCTGGGGAAGTAAGGCATGACTTCTGGGGAGGAAGGTGGATGAGAAGGGGATCCTAGGAGGGCTGGGTGGGGAGGCCTGCTTGGGGCAGCCCCCTTTCCTGGTCTTCACCCCCCTCCCTAGGCCTCCCTGCTGGCTGGGTGTAAGCCAGAAGAAGTTTCAGCCCGGGTGCCTGTGGTGGCCTCCAGTAGGGCACGTTCTGCCTGTAGGAGCCAGACATTGAAGGTAGAGTGTCATGTGGCTGAGACCACACCCTGATTTTGACCCCCACCTGTGGGCCTGGAGGCAGGCATGAGATGTGTTTCTGTCTCCTGGTGGGAGGGCCACCAGCCTGGCCTCCAGAAGGAGCCATGTGGAGGCCCAGTACTGGGAGCAGTTCTGAGTGCCTGGCCTCTTGGAGGCCAAGTCTCTGGGCAAGGTGGGTGTCAGAATGGGGGCTGGAGTTCTCTGTTTTCTGCCTCAGCAGGGATCACTTTGATCTGAAAACCTCCTCTCTCCTGGCCTTTGAAAGATACCGACCAGAGCATACTCTCCTGCCCTTTGCTGGGTGCTTAGAAAGGCCTTGAGGTGACCCTGTTTCAGTCTCCCCATGGGCCCCTGCAGCCACATGGACTGACCAGAGGCTCCGCATTTGGGCAGGTGTGGTCTGACCTCACTTAGGATCGTGGGCTAGTGGGTCCCCCAATGAAGGGGGCTGCTCCAAGTGTCAGGAGGCAGTAAGGGGTGCACAGAGCCCTGGCCTCTGCCGTCCCCATTGGCTATTTGGCCAATCTGCATTCAGGGAGTGAGTAGAGGGATCTAGGGTGCATGGGGAGGTGCATGCAGGGTGGTTTTGGCCTGGGACTTTGACTGCCCTCCGGAGATGCACTGTGAGGGCTGCCCAGCTAGGGAGCAGACGGGAGGGACAGGGACCTGTTCCCACTGTGCCCTTCCAAGCTGCTTCCCTGTCACCCTTGGTCTCAGTGCCAGTTGGAAAATTGAGGCAGAACTCAATCAGGCATTCAACAGTGCCCAGTAAAGGTTAGTGGTGATTCCCGGAGGGAATGGCGGGGTATTGTGCTGAGCTGCTGAGATGGGAATGTCCTGTGAAAACGTCTGTCTAGAGGTTCATTTCATTTGGAGTTGAAGTTTACATGCAGTGAAGTGCGTAAAATTATGTTTTCATCTACCTTAACCCTGACTCCCAGCAAGATAGAGAGCTGCCCTCACCCCAAAAAGTTCCTCATGCCCCGTCCTGGACGGTCCTCAACCTGTCTCTCACAGCCTGTTCTGATTTGGTTTTTATCCTCAGTCCATTTTGCCTATCTAGAACTTGATGTAGTTGGAGTCATGCAGTCTGTACTCTTCTTGCAAAAGGCTTCTTCCACTTGGTGCCACAACTGTGAGGTTCATCCATGTCTCTGCATCATTTCTGCCCTTTGTATTTTTAGGGTTTTAAAAGTAATATTTTTTTTAAAATGTTGAGTATTACAGAAATGAATATAATATACAGAGACTATGGTTTTTCTTTAATCCCACTCCCAGAGATGACGTCATTCAGCAGTTGGGTATGTGTGCCCCCAAGGTTTTTCTTGTCACAAAATGGACTTACTGGGGTGGATAGGCTCCGACTGGGCCTTCCTTACTGTTCATTGAGGGTGAACTGAGGGGTGAGGCTGCTGTGGCTGCCTCTGCAGGGCTCAGGCATGTGCCACCAGTAGCCTGAGAAGCTGGAGCTTCTCTGCCGTTACAGCCCCTAGCACCTGCCTGGGCCCTGGGCCTACCTCTGTGTTGGGGACATGACTTTCTGGCTTTTTTGTGGCAGGGACTGGGAGGGAAGGAAAGCAGAGCAGGTGGGTGTTGATTTCCATAAGCAGGGCCGTGTGTCTACTCTAATAGAGGGCCTGGGAAGGTAACCCTGAGGCTTTGTGTTCCTTCCTGCAGACCTTCTGGGTTCCCCAGAGAGCTGGCCCTCCCTCCAGCTGCTGGGGTTCCTGCCCTTCCCAGCTGGGGCCAGTCTACCTACTGGGAGAATTCCAGAGCTGAGGGATCCTCACTGGAGAGATTTCTGTGCTCCCTTTCCTGCCCCTCCCTGCAGACCCCTGAAAGCTCTGTCCCAGGGAGGAGCCGGGTCAGAGCCTTAAGTGAATGCCAAGCTGGCCCTGGTAGCCCAGGCCTGCTGCCCCATTGCCCCAGATCCTGGGTGTCCTAGGAGCCAGCGTTCTGGGTGGGCAGTAGGCCAGGGCTGGGCGTGCTAGCCTTGGGGCTGATAGGCATGCTGCCTGGGCCTGCTGCCAGGGTCTGCTGGGTGCCAGGCAGCATCCTCATCGCAGCCTGCAGTCAGCCGCTGCCAGGGCTGGGCACGAACACTCGGGCCAATGCCCAGAGCCATGTTTCTAATTACCTGGCACTCCCCAGGTGGGGCCCTCCAGGGTAGGCACTTGCTGTTTCATGCCCAGTGGTAAGCTGGTAGGGCAGAGGTTTGTGGCTAAGAAGGAAAGAGCAGTGCTTAGTAGGAGTGGTGTGGATGGCAGGCTTGTGGCATTGTGCTTGCTGTGAACTTTCTGCAGGTGGCTCTGACACACACTACCTCAAATGGAGGGTGCAGGGAGGAGCCCTGCCCTGTCCTGTGTCATGGCTGACCCAGCCTGGGGCCATCCTTCCTTGGTGGGGAGACCTGGTCCTAGCCTGTGCTGAAGTGCCTGTCAGGGCCAGGCAGTGGGCACTGACGAGGGTGTTCCCACCCTTACTCAGGTGCCTCCCAGTCCTATTCTCCACCCATTCTCTGCGTGGCATCCAGTAGCTGGCCTGACCTCTGGCAAGGTCAGGTGACCCCTTGTTGCAAAGTTTGGCAGGTGCCCTGCCCAGCAGTGCTCTGGTTGACCAAGGTCGTGAGGGACAGTGGTTGGGGAGCAGATGAGGTGGTATAGGGCTGGATGGTGGTGTTTGATTATCTCCAGTGTGCCACCCAGAGTCTCTATCCAGTTTTTTGACTGCTCCCACCAGTGTTTCAGTGGCTCCTGCTCCCCTGCCCCCACTGCCCAACACTGGCCTCGGCCCAGTTAGCTCACTGGGCCCAACCCTTGCTAACTGTGGACGCTCTTGGGCTTCCTGCCAACAGAGCTGATTCTGCTGCCCTCTGGGCCTTTGGTGGGGTCCTGGACCAGCCATTCACCCCTCCCCTCACACCCCACACCCAGAGGGGAGCTGCCTAGGGGCTGGAGAGACAGCTGGTCTGCGGCAGCCTAGGCCTCCCAGCTCTGTGCCGGCACCCCGGGTCTGGTCACATTCCTGAGGGACCTGCTGAGCCTCCCTGGCCCTGGGGGTGGAGTGGGGGAAGGGCAGGCAGGGATGGGCTGCTGCATGCCCCCTCCACGACCCTGGCTCCATTCCGTGGGGGCCCAGGCTGGCAGGTGTGGGGTGCAAGGACCCACCACCTCAGGATCCCCCCTCCCGCAGGACCTAGAGCCCTGGGGTTGGGAGGGAGCCTGCCCGCCCTCTCCTGGCAGCAGCTGCCCAAGGCTTTGGCGGGCCATTATTGAAAGTCCAGGCCTGCAGCTTGGGCGAGCCCTTAGGCAGCGAAACCTCCAGAGAGGGAAGGCCATGTGGTCTGCTGGGGGGGCTGGGCCCTCTGGGCAGGGAGGAGTTGAGAGCAGATCGGGAAGGGAAGGAGCAGGGGAGCCAGAAGCGGTTGAGACTGGTTCTTATAAATAGCCCTTGCACAAGTGGCTCCAATTTTGACCTTTTGTTATGTAAATGTGGCCAGGCTGGGAAGGGCCTTGCCCAGGCCTCCTGCCACCACACCCGCAGGCCAGGAATTGTGTCTGCCACCAGGGCCCCCTGGCCTAGGTGGCCCCTGCGGTGTGTCCTTAATCTGTGTGTGTTAGTGGGGGGAGGTATCACACCCTCTGAACTCCCTAGACCTGTTCCCTCGTACTTACTCTTCCTGGCCATCAGATCCAACTGCCAGGCTCTCCTGCCACTGTCTCCTGCTGGGCTGCCCCTGGTGCCCCAGCCAGAGGCCTCCGGGTGTTTCCCTTCATTGCCCTTCCCTCCCTTCCTTGCTGATGGCTGTCCAGGTGACCGTGTCCGTCTTCTCTTCCCCAGGTGACCAGGCATTGATGCACCCCCAGGAAGGCTACGCGCTCAGGAGGCCCCTCCCCGCTGGCTGCTGCTCACATGGTGTCTGGGCCCCAGGCACTCCGGTGAGGCGCAGGGGAGGGAGGACCACTACTGGCCCCTTTTCCCAGAGCTTTCTGGGTGGTGCACAGCCCCACAGCTCTCAGCCTCTCTCCCTCTCTGACCCATGGTCCTTTGTGTCCACACAGCACTGGGCAATGTGGAGAGAGCCTAGGAGCCACTGCCCTCTGCCAGTCCCTTCGCCAGTCTTGGGGTAGGTGTCTGGGCACTGGCAGAACTGGCACTGACATTTTCTGGGGGCTGGGTTACTGGGGCCCAGTGTGGAAGCCACACCTTGGGCTCTTTGTCCCTGTGTGGTGGGTTGAGGGGGCAGGGAGTGGAAGAGGATTGGTTCATGAATTCAGCAGCCTGTGAGCACCCTCCTTAGCTGCTGTGGGCTGGACTGCTAGGCACAGCCACTGGCAGGTGCTTGCTGCCTCTTGCCATTAGGCTCTGAGTACCAGCAGCGTCTCGGGCAGTGTTGCACCCTCGTGTGTTCACACTGAGCTCTGGCACCTTTGAATGTTAGGGTTTCCCTTTGTCTTTGCAAACAAGGGCAGGCATGGGACTGGGGAGAGTTTCTGTCATGGGAAGATTGGGTGGGATGGGACCCTTTTCCAGGGCTCTGTTCCAGGAGGCAGGGCTGGACACTCTGCAAGGGGCAGTAGATCCCAGGGGGTGACAGGCTCAGAGCAGTTCAGCTGTTGAGAGACTGGACCCTGAACTGTGTGTGAGGCTTAGAGTTGCCTGTGGGCCCTGTTGCTCAGTTGTCCCGCAGCTATGAGTCAGTGAGGAAAGTTCCTGTCTCTGCTGGCCTCCTGCCCTATGGAAGCCTGTGGGCCTGTCTGGGGCATAGGTGGCCACCTGGACACTGGCATGCGTTCCCCAGCACCCTCCTCTGCCGAACCATTCTCTGAGGGGCTCTGTTAGGGGTAAGAGGATGGAGCTGTCGGTGCTGTGAGGAGTTGTGCTTAGGGCTGAGGACAGCTTTGAGTCATTCAAAACATTTTAGTCATTCTGTGCACTGCCGGCCACGTCCTTGCCTCTTTCCTTGGAGGGACATTTCCCTCCTCCCCTAGGGTCCATCTGGTGCCCACTGTGTACTTCTGTGCCCTGCCCCTGCACCCCCATTGTGGCGTGCCTGGTCCTTGGCAGAGGAGGGTGCTCAGTGGGGTTGGAAGCATGGTTAGGAGCACCCACTCTCGTAAACCCATGTCTCGCTGCTGCACAAGCAGAAACATACCTGGGCTGGCAGGGTTCCTGCAGAGACCAGCAGTGCCAGTATGTTTCTTACTTACTGACCTCAGCGCCTGTGCCAGTCTGTGTGGCAGAGGCCAGCTGGCCACCTTTCCTAGGCCCAGATGGCACTGCCCTTCCTAGCGAGGACAGTGGGTTCAGGTGGTGCCAGGTGCTTGGCCCAGGCTACCTTTCCTTCTTGGCACCTGGAAGCTCAGGTTGGGGCAGCGCTGGCGCCCGCCCAGGAGTCCAAGGTGGCCCTGGTGAGGCTGAGGGCCTTGGGGAGAGGCGGGCCTGCAGGCCAACTGCAGCATCTGGGAGGCAAGCAACATGACTTCTGGTGAAGCCTGGGTGGCCTCGTGTGGCTTGGGAGGCGCAACCACGGAGTCGAGGCTGCATACCAAAGGCCGCTGGCAGTTTGATTTGGGCCCTGCCGTGTTTCAGAAGGAACCACCATTTAGTTTTGGGGGATTTCAGCATCCCCATGGGCCTGGTTTTGTCAGCTTTCAAGATAGGCCCCTCTCAGGGAGGCCTCTGCATCCTGAAGTGTAAAAACACTTGCTCTTTATTTTTTGATCCCTTTCTGTCCCTGAGGGTATGTGATGGACTTCATATAGTATAGAGACAGTAGCCTAGGCTGTGAAACTAAATGCAAATCCTAGTTTCTCTGTTTGTTGCCTCATTGCCTTCACCTCATTTTCTCATCAGTGCAAATGGGACAGGAGCCTCTGTCCCTTCTGAGGCAGTTTGAGTTCTCAGTGAGGTGACACATATACCGGCATGCAATGGGCAGTTGTGAGCTCATGTGCCATGTACTGTGCCCCAGGGGCTGCAGCCCTGTGTGGGGTCAGTGCTGAGGTCCTTTGAGTGCCTTATTGAGCCCCACCCTGTCCCAGAGCCCTTGTTTGAGTGTCCCAGTTATCTGATGCATGCATGCCTGTTCTTGCCCACAGGTGGTACGCGTGGGCGGGGCGAGGGGACATGGGGCCCGACATGGAGCTGCCCAGCCACTCGAAGCAGCTCCTGCTGCAGCTGAATCAGCAGAGGACCAAGGGCTTCCTGTGTGATGTCATCATCATGGTGGAGAACTCCATCTTCCGGGCTCACAAGAATGTCCTGGCCGCCAGCAGCATCTACTTCAAGTCCCTGGTCCTGCACGACAACCTCATCAACCTGGACACAGACATGGTCAGCTCCACGGTGTTCCAGCAGATCCTGGACTTCATCTACACAGGCAAGCTGCTGCCCAGTGACCAGCCAGCTGAGCCCAATTTCAGCACCCTTCTCACTGCCGCCAGCTACCTCCAGCTGCCCGAGTTGGCAGCCCTCTGCCGTCGCAAACTCAAGAGAGCCGGCAAGCCCTTTGGCTCTGGGAGGGCAGGGGCCACCGGCATGGGGCGGCCCCCCCGCAGCCAGCGGCTGTCCACGGCCTCTGTCATCCAGGCTCGTTATCAGGGGCTTGTGGATGGGCGTAAGGGGGCCCACGCCCCCCAGGAGCTCCCCCAAGCCAAAGGCTCAGACGATGAGCTCTTTCTTGGTGGTTCTAACCAGGAAGGTGTGCAAGGTTTGGGCCGGGCCATCTGCCCAGCTGGTGGGGAGACAGGCCTCGGGGGCTGCAGCAGCAGCACCAATGGGAGCAGTGGGGGCTGTGAGCAGGAGCTGGGCTTGGACTTGTCCAAGAAAAGCCCACCCCTGCCCCCTGCCACCCCCGGTCCCCACCTCACTCCCGATGACCCAGCCCAGCTGAGCGACAGCCAACACGGCTCGCCCCCTTCGGCCTCTGCCCCTCCTGTTGCCAACAGTGCCTCTTACTCTGAGCTGGGGGGCACCCCCGATGAGCCCATGGATCTGGAGGGAGCTGAGGACAACCACCTGAGCCTGCTGGAGGTGCCTGGCGGGCAGCCTCGGAAGAGCCTCCGACACTCCACTCGGAAGAAGGAGTGGGGCAAGAAGGAACCTGTGGCTGGCTCCCCTTTTGAGCGGAGAGAAGTGGGACCCAAGGGTCCCTGCCCGGGAGAGGAGGGCGAGGGGGTTGGGGACAGGGTTCCCAATGGCATCCTGGCTGGTGGGGCTGGCCCTAGCGGGCCCTATGGAGAGCCCCCCTACTCCTGCAAGGAGGAGGAGGAGAATGGCAAGGACGCAAGTGAAGATAGCGCGCAGAGTGGGAGTGAGGGGGGCAGCGGCCACGCCAGCGCCCACTACGTGTACCGGCAGGAAGGCTACGAGACGGTGTCCTATGGGGACAACCTGTATGTGTGCATCCCCTGCGCCAAGGGCTTCCCCAGCTCCGAGCAGCTCAACGCGCACGTGGAGACGCACACAGAGGAAGAGCTGTTCATCAAGGAAGAGGGGGCCTATGAGACAGGCAGTGGGGGCGCCGAGGAGGAGGCTGAGGACCTGTCGGCGCCCAGCGCGGCTTATGCAGCTGAGCCCCGGCCCTTCAAGTGTTCGGTCTGCGAGAAGACCTACAAGGACCCGGCCACTCTGCGGCAGCACGAGAAGACGCACTGGCTGACGCGGCCCTTCCCCTGCAACATCTGCGGCAAGATGTTCACGCAGCGTGGCACCATGACGCGTCACATGCGGAGCCACCTGGGCCTGAAGCCCTTTGCCTGCGATGAGTGTGGCATGCGCTTCACCCGCCAGTACCGCCTCACTGAGCACATGCGTGTGCACTCAGGTGAGAAGCCCTATGAGTGCCAGCTGTGCGGGGGCAAGTTCACCCAGCAGCGCAACCTCATCAGCCACCTGCGAATGCACACTTCCCCCTCCTAGAAGCCAAAGACCCGAGGGCGCCCTCTGCCACCTTGCTCCCCGGGAACCCATGGAAGGAGAAGCGTGGTGATGCAGCGGCAGGGGCAAGACCCTGGGTCCAGTGGAGGCTCCGGGTGGCCCCTCTGGCCCCCACTTGCCCACACCCAGAGCTTTAATCGACAGTCTGTACCAAGCAGAGCCGACAGGAGGGAAGCTAGGGGTCCCAGCCCGTCTACCTCCCCATCTCACCCAGGTCCCCAGCTCCCCGCGGGGACCACCGCAGGGCCTGTGGGCTGGGTCACGTGGGTCTCGCTGGGACCTGGTCCCTTTGCTGCAGGCGACTTGGAGAAAGGGGGCAGTGGGGGCCTCCATGCTGGTGATGGCCAAGGTGTTGTTGGGAGCAGGCCCCACCCCGTTAGCCGCGTCTGTGTGTGTGCACGTGTGCTTGTGTCTGTGTGGGCATGTACGGCCCTGGTTCTGCAGGGAACAGGTGCTGGGGGTGCAGATCCCTCCCTCCTTGAGCCAGGGTGGCACTGCTCACTGGCGCTGGGACAGTCAGGGTGACCCCACCGCCTACCTCTCTACAACTAAAGAGCCCTCTGGGCCTGTGTTGCTGTTATTCCTACTGATCTGTTCCTCTATTTTTCTTTTTTCTTTTTGTTTTTTAAACCAAAACAAACAATAGCTTATTTTCTTCCCAGCCCCTCTGGGGCTGAGCCTGGGTCTGAAGACTGAATGTAACAGGGGCCGCTGGCCCTCCTGTGCGTCCCTGGCTCTGACGCTGCAGGGGTGTCAGCGTGCCACCGCTCCAGGCCTCAGAAGCCCTTCTTGCCCAAAGGCTTCCCTGGTCCCTGAGCCCTGCCTCGGCTGCCTCAGGAGAGTGCTTTTCCTGTAGTTTCCAAGGATTATTCTTTATTTAGAGGTACTTGTTTTTTATTAAGAGAAAAACCAGTGTAACGTTTATGTGACTGAACTGGAAGGTCTGGGGTTCCGGGGGGTGGGGGGAGGCTGGACTCGATGCCGGGGCCATTGGTACTCTCGTTTTCATTTGTGTGTGCGCGTGTGTGTCTGTGTGTGGTGTGTGCCGTACGCGTGGGCAGACGTTTCGCTTTCCCTCCTTCCTCACTGAACAAGGTGGAGACTTGTGACTTGTTGCTACCTCTTGAATTCATGACAACAATATGTTGGTGACTGGCATGGAAGCCCTCGGCATCCCTGCTTTCTCCTCCTAACAACCAGGAAGTCGGTGCAGGAGTCACAGGGCTCCGAGTGGCCCAGTGACTGGGCCCTGCATCTCACCTGTGTTTTCCCTTTGGGCCTTGGGCCACATCCACCCCCAGGGGACCCTGGCACCCTGGGCACATGAACCTGTTTCTGGTGTGGGTGAGGTGTGGGGCCCCAACGTGGAGCCAGGCACTGGGTGCTGACAGGGGAGCCATGAGGAGGGTGGCAGGTCTTTGCAGCTCCCGGCCAGGCTGAGGCGGAGGTGAGCCCTCTTCGTCCTGCCACCTCCACCCTCCATTCCTGCAAGAGTTGAGCTTGTAAGAGCTGACCTTAGGACCCCCCCAGAGAACAGGGATTGTACTTCTCTGAGCAGACACTGTCTAGGGCTCCTCAACCAGCCTCAGACACTTCCATGAGCCCCATAGTGGGCTCTCAAGGCCACAGCACAGTCCCACTGTCTTCGGCCAACTGGAGCAGTGGGGCTGGGCCTGCAGGCTTCATCTCGCTTCACGACTTCCCCTTTTTTTTCTCTCTCTCTCCTCTATTTTAAGTTTAGACCAAAAAAATTCCAGAGTCATCCCCTACCCCCCACCCCTCCAGAGACCCTCCAACTGAAAACAGAGCCTGAGTTCAGGGACCCGAGTGGTGAGCAGTGTGTTTTGGGGGTGAGGGAGCTTGGGCGGATGAGGCTTCTGGCTGAGCCCTCCCTGTGGCGATCCCAGCCTGAGAAGGGCCCTCTTCCCTCCTGGTGGGAAGCAGAGAAGTGGACCCAGGGTCTTAGATTCCAGCAAGTCAGGCTGGGGACCTTGAGGGGAGGAGACTCCTGGACTCCACCCCTCCTCAGTGAGGGGGCTCCCCTTGTCCTGACCCCACCCCACCCTGTCAGCACTTAAGCCACACGACACAAAGTCTGTACTGCACGGGAACTGCACGCGCCCGGGGCCATGTGCGTGGCCTCGGGCTGTGGGCAGCCGCATCTGTGACGTGACTCATGAAAGTAGGTGATTCCTTTGCAGAACTTCAGGGACTGGGAGCAGAGGCCCCTCACTCAACTACGTTTGTGCGACATAGTATTGTACCCACCTTAGTATTGTATGGAGCCTTTTCTGTATTTTAATGAGAAAGCAGAACACTAGTTTCCTATTTAAGACTTTAAGGGTTTGTGGGGCGGGGCGGGATTAACACAACATTTGGCTTTGTTTTCTTTTTCCTTTGATTTCCACGTTGGGTGTGTGCGAGTGTGTGTGTGTGTGATGTTAAGAGCCTCACAAAGAAACTGGGTTATTGGAGGCCAAGGTGGCTTACAGCTCTCTGCGCTTGTCACTTAATTCCTAAATGTTTCGGAGAAACAGGAAACAGAAAACAGCAGATACCATGTAGGAAAGAGGGCAAACAAAGAAAAAAAGATAAGCTCATACCCAAATTCACAAAGCCTGTTTTTAAACCAAAGCACATTTTGAATGAGTATGGAACCTCCATGGGCTCAGACAAAAGTTACTAATATATTTATCTCATTGTTTACATAAGCTCTTACAGTTTCAGACCTCAGCAGCTGTAAGGCCAGTCCAGGGAACCCTCGCCTGCTGCTGGAAGCCCTTCTGAGTTGGCCCTGGAGTGGTTCACGGGCAGAGCGGGGCAGCCCTGGGGCTGGGGAAGGGACTGGAAACCTCCCTGGATTCACCTGAGCCCTCCTCCCCATTCTCAGGGCCCCTCCAAGCCCAGCTGGCACCAAAGAGCTTGGGCCAGTGCTGACCAGCCCCCAAGGTCCTCTGACCTGGACCATGCTGGTCCTGACCAGCTGGCCTATGTGGGGGTGGCTGTCAGCTCTGGCCACAGGACCCGAGACTGGGCTTGAGTCCCCCTGCTACTCTGCCCGTGACCCTCGGGGATGGGTTGATGTGAGGGTCCCACTCAAGCCAAAAAGCCGGGACCTTTGCACAGCCCAGCCAACTCTGGTGGGTCCCCATTCGTGGTGACCCCCTAACCCCACCCGAAGCAGCAGAAAGGGCTGACTGGGCCTGGTCCTTACCAACATAGACGGTGCAAACACTCTTAACAGTGTTGTTTTTGTATCAATATGTTCGTGCAGTGATGAATGTATTTATTTCTCAGACTTGGGGCGAGTGAGCAGGTGGCAGGTCAGGCTCCGCCACTGCACACTCCCGCCGGACTGAGCCCCAGCAAGGGCTCCTCCAGGATTGCAAAAAAAAAAAAAAAAAAAAAAAAAAAAAAAAAAAGAGAAAAGATGAACCTTTAAGCAAATAATCTCAGAGACTCGCAGCATAGCCATACACCTCAGCCTGTGAAATGAACAATCCGGACCCTCCCCGACCTTCCCCACCTCACGCAGCTGCGTGTGTTTCCCGTTCGTCACCACTCGGGGGCGCCGGGCCGCCCACCCACTCCCCCAACCTGTCAGTATTCACTGGACCTCGGGCGCCATGCAGGAGTGCGATCTGGGCTGGGCCACTGGGCAGGCCAATCCCCTGCCCTCCCTCCCGGCCATCCTGAGTTGGGGTGAGGCCTGGGCAGCCGGAGGGCAGGGCTCAGGGAGCAGGAGGCTGCATCCGTCCACCCCCAGGTGTGGGGGACAAAAGCCAAAGGCGAGGCCTTAGAGCAGACAAGGGCTCTCAGCCCTGCCATGCCCCCTGAAGGGACCAAGGTCCTCCTGTTCCCAGAACCCCATTGGGGCAGATGTTACTGAACCTGTGAATCAGATGCCAGGGGTGAGGGGCTGGGGAGGGACCTAACCTGACCCTGTCTGACATTCCACGCTGGGGTGGGCATGAGCTGTGGGAACTGAGGCTGCCCAGGACCCCCTTCCTAGGATGCCCCAGCTTCAGTCACCCCACTTTAACTTTCTACAAGGACCCCCTCCCCTTACCTCACCTTGCTATTTATTGCTGTAATTTATTGACCTCAAAAATGCTGCATAACAGACCTCACTGGGGCAGGGAGGATCCCCAGGGCTCCCCCCCTCCACTTGGCGGGCCCTGTGGGGCCAGGTGCTGAGGGGAGCCTCTCTACCCCACCCATCACTAGTTTCCCTCCGCCCCCACCCTGGGGGCCCCAGGTTGGGCACTGGCTCATTACTTACAAATACCTCGAATGGGGAGGGGGGAGGGATGGGGTTATAAGTGTTTTGTTTAATTGGAACTGGAAGAGGGATCATGTTCTATTTTATGCCCTTCCCAGAAAGGGGGAGGGACACCAGGATCGCACTCCTGTACTGGCCACCGCCGCTGTCACTCGTCACATTGAGTTCACATCCCTTGAGAGTTTGTATAAATTCAGGTCAGCGCTGCAGCTATGCAGCCGCCCAGTGTCATAGAAAAGCAATTCACCAACGACTGATCTCTCCATTCAGAAGTGTGCAGTCTTAATGTACAGCGATGAGAAACTGTTATTTTATGATCTTTTCATTAAAAGCTTGATTGAAAACTATCTGGTGTGGGACCTCCATATTCTACTTTGGCTGTTCTCTCTAGCAAAGTGACATGGCTTCCAAATCTTAGGAGGGTGGAGTCTGGGATGGGCATCTGCCTGCTACCATTCAGCAGTGCTTAGTGGTGCTTGGTGAGTCCTTGGGGGTGTATACACTGGGCCAGGGAAGTAGCACTTTGGTGTCAGCATCCTCTTGGGCAGCATTGGCCTGAGTTAGCTGAGGCTGCCTGGGAGGCAGCGATGCGTGCACAGTTAGGGGCACGGACCTGGGGACACGGACTTGAGGCTGAGGAAGGGCTGGAGCAAGGTGAGGGCTACTCCCTTTGCCCACTGCTGCTTGGCCTGAGGGGAGGAGAAGGGGGAAGGAAAAAGGGTAACATTAATCCCCAGGGTGAGGGACCACCTGAGATGGGATCCTAGTATGAAGACCCAGGAAGAGAAGCAAGGATGGAGGGCGATGGCCATGCTGGACCTCCAGTTCAGACTGCGGGCATCTGTGGTGGCTCTGGGCAGCAGGACATGAGCCCACTGACCCCAGACGCCCAGAAGAGCTTGAGCACAGCTCCTTGGGGTCTTGGTGAGTTCTGCTCACTTGCTTTAAAATTAACTTTTGGCTTTGTCAAAGTAATTCCTGAATATAGTTTAAATAATTAATGGTTCTTAAAAGGGCTTAAAAAATAGTTTTGTCTCCCACTGCATCCCATGCTACACAGCCAATCTCTTTTAATTATTTTAGCACTTTCTTTTGCATTCATCTCTCCATGTCTAAATAGTATTCTTTTTTTTTTTTTTAAAGACAGCGTTTCACCATGTTGGTCAGGCTGGTCTTGAACTCCCGACCTCAGGTGATCCACCCGTCTTGGCCTCCAAAGTGCTTGGATTACAGGTGTGAGCCGCCATGTCTGGCTCTAAATAGTATTCTTATACTGCTGTTTTATTCCTTTTTTGGAGTCTTTGGACTTAAGGATTATTTAGTTCATTTACATTCTCTTCTCCCTAATTTATATCCCCCAAATAGTTATCAAATGTATAGTTTGATCTTCAGGTTGGCAGACTTTCTATTAAGTAGTCAGATTGTAAAAATATGTAAATCAATCTATATCTGTCTGTCTGTCTGTCTGTCTGTCTGCACATTTACTGCAGCTTTCATCCAGGCTGGCGTGCTGTGGATCACAGCTCACTGTAACCTCAAACTCCTGGGCTCAAGTGATCCTCCCACCTCAGCCTCCCATGTAGCTGGGACTGCAGGCGTGAGCCACCACAGCCAGCTAAAAAATTAGCTTGTTTCTTGTTTTCATAGAGACAGGATCTTGTTACCTTGTCAGGCTAGTGTTGAACTGGCTTTGAGAGATTCTCTTAACTCAGCCTCCCAACGTGCTGGGATTACAGGTATGAGCCACTACATCTGGCTGCCAGATAGTAGATATTTCAGGCTCTGCAGGTCATACTATCTCTGTTGTGACTACTCAGCCTTCTGTCAGAGTGCAAAATGGGGCTAGGTGCAGTGGCTCATGCGTGGTCTTGAACTCTGGTTGGGAGTTCAAGACCAGACTGGCCAACACCAACACGGTGAAACCTCGTCTACTAGAAGTACAGAAATTAGGGAGGCTGAGATGGACAGATCACCTGAGGTTAGGAGTTTGAGATCAGCCTGGCCAACATGGTTGAAACCTGTCTCTACTAAAAATAGAAAAATTAGCTGGGCATGGTGGCACATGCTTATAATTCCAGCTGCTCGGGAGGCTGAGGCAGGAAAATCTCTTGAACCAGGGAGGCAGAGGTTGCAGTGAGCCGAGATCATGCCACCGCTCTCCAGACTGGCAGCAGAGTGAGAAAAAACAAAACACAAATTTAGCTGGGTGTGGCGGCAGGCGCCTGTAATCCCAGCTCCTCGGGAGGCTGACAGAGGAATTGCTTGAATCCAGAAGGTGGAGGTTGCAGTGAGCTGAGATCGCGCCATCACACTCCAGGCTGGGTGACTAGAGTGAAAAAAACTCCTCAAAAAAAGGAAGAGGAAAAAAAAGTACAAAAATTGCTGGGCGTAGTGACTCACACATGTAATCCCAGCACTTTGGGAGGCTGAGGCGTGTGGATCATGAGGTCAAGAGATCGAGATCATCTTGGCCAAAATGATGAAACCTCATCTCTACTAAAAATACAAAAATTAGCCAGGTGGGCCATGGGTTGGAGAGACGTGAGTCCTCCGTGGCCACCAGCAAAAAATTTAAAAATAATTAAAAAAAAAAAAATTAGCCAGGTGTTGTGATGGGCACCTGTAATCCCAGCTACTTGGGAGGCTGAGGCAGGAGAATCACTTGAATCCGGGAGGCAGAGGTTGTGGTGAGCCAAGATCGTGCCACTGCACTCTAACCTGGGCGACAGAGCGAAACTTTGTCTCAAAAAATAAAAGTACAAAAATATAGCTGGGCATGGTTGTGGGTTCCTGTAATCCCAGCTAGGCAGGAGAATGGCTTGAACCCAGGAGGCGGAGGTTGCGGTGAGCCGAGATCATGCCAACTGCATTCCACCCTGGGCAACGAGCAAAACTCTCTCTATATATATTAAAAAAGAAAAGAAAAAGTTGCCATCAATGATACGTAAGCAATAGGCATGGATATATTCCAGTAAAACTTCATTTACGGCCAGCCATAGTGGCTTAGGCCTGCAATCACAGCACTTTGAGAGGCCGAGGTGAGTGGATCACCTGAGGTCAGGAGTTTGAGACCAGCCTGGGCAAGATGGTGAAACCCCATCTTTACAAAAAAAAAAAAAAAAATACAAAAAGTTAGCTGGGTGTGGTGGTGCACACCCATAGTCTCAGCTACTTGGGAGGCTGAGGTGGGAAAATCACCTGAGCCTGGGAAATTGAGGCTGTAGTGAGCTGTGATTGTGGCACAGCACTCCAGCTTGGGCAACAGAGGAAACTGTCTCAAAGAAAACTAAACAAAACAAAGAAACTTCATTTATAAAAACAGGTGCAGGATGTGATTTGCTATTATGTACCTATTGTGCTCACTATGTAAATTTGTTTACTTACTGCTAAGCTGGGTAAGGTAATGGGTCTTCATTTTGGTTCTTGTACAATTACTTTTCTTTTCCTTCCTTCCTCCTCCCTCCCTCCCTCCCTCCCTCCCTCCCTCTCTTTCTCTTCTCTCTCTTTTTTTAATTTTTTTTTTTTTTTAAGACAGGGTTTCACCATGTTGGTCAGGCTGGTCTTGAACTCCCGACCTCAGGTGATCCACCCACCTTGGCCTCCAAAGTGCTTGGATTACAGGCGTGAGCCACCACACCCGGCCTCTTCTCTCTTACTTGAGACAGAGTCTCGCTTTGTTGCCCAGGCTGGAGTGCAATGCGCTATCTCTGCTCACTGCAACCTCCGCCTCTCGGGTTCAAGCAATTCTCCTGCCTCAGCCTCCCAAGTAGCTGGGATTACAGGCATGTGCTACCACACCTGGCTAATTTTTTGTATTTTTAGTAGAGACGGGGTTTCACCATGTTGGCCAGCCTGGTCTCAAACTCCTGACCTCAGGTGATCCACCGCCTCAGCCTCCCAAAGTGCCGGAATTACAGGCATGAGCTACCGCACCCAGCCTTTTGTACAATTTATTTTTCTTTTTATTTTTTGAGACAGGATCTCACTCTGTCACCCAGACCAGAGTGTAGTGGAGTGATCACAGCTCACTGTAGCTTCGACCTCCGGGGCTCAAGTGATCCTTCTCTCCTAGCTTTGCAAGTAGCTGGGACTACAGGTGTACACCATCACACCTGGCTAATTCTTTAAATTTTTGTAGAGGTGGGGTTTCATTGTATTGTCCAGGCTGACCTTGAACCCCAGGGCTCAAGTGATCCAACCATCTTGGCCTCCCAAAGTTTTGAAGTTACCAGCATGAGCCACCGGCCAATTTCTTGTATATCTTTTTCCTTCCTCCCCACCTTTTTTTTTTTTTGAGACAGTTTTGTTCTCTTACCTAGGCTAGAGTGCATTGGTGCCATCTCGACTCACTGCAACCTCCACTTTCCAGGTTTAGGCTATCCTCACACCTCAGCCTCCTGAGTAACTGGGACTACAGGTACACGCCACCATACACAGCTAATTTTGTTGTTGTTGTATTTTTAGTAGAGATGGTGTTTCACCATGTTGCCCAGGCTGGTCCTGAACTCCTGGCCTCAAGTGATATGCCCGACTTGGCCTCCTAAAGTGCTGTGATTACAGGTGTGAGCTGCTTTGCTTGGCCTCTTGTTTTTCTTAAAATTAATAATTATTTGATTTTTTTTTTTTTTTTTTGAGACAGAGTTTCGCTCTTGTTACCCAGGCTGGAGTGCAATGGCGCGATCTCGGCTCACCGCAACCTCCGCCTCCTGGGTTCAGGCAATTCTCCTGCCTCAGCCTCCTGAGTAGCTGGAATTACAGGCACGCGCCACCATGCCCAGCTAATTTTTTGTAGTTTTAGTAGAGACGGGGTTTCACCATGTTGACCAGGATGGTCTCGATCTCTTGACCTTGTGATCCACCCGCCTCGGCCTCCCAAAGTGCTGGGATTACAGGCTTGAGCCACCGCGCCTGGCCAATTATTTGATTTTTTTGATTGCCCAGTTAGAGTCTCTATCTTCCCTCCCTCTTTAACTCTGTGAAACGGCTCCAGTACATTTTTCTGCACAATGGGACACAATCTGTTCTGTTATTTCACTGCAGGAGACATCCTGGAGTCTGCACAAATGTGGGCTGGGGTTCTTCCTGCCTTTGTCCTTCATTAGCAGCCCTGTCTGTGGAGCTCATTTATCCTCTTTCTTGAATTACGTGCTTGTTTTGGTGGCATAATTCCTCTGGTGCCATCCTGAGAAAGAGCACATGGGAAGTAGGATTGTTCTTTTTTCTTTTTTCGCCCTGGAAAATTAAAGCAATTCATTCAAGATTTTTTTTTTTTTTTTTTTGAGACAGAGTTTCATTCTCCAGCCAAGCTGGAGTGCAATGGCTTGATCTCAGCTCACTGCAACCTCCG